ATTGGGTTATGAGTTTTTCAATGGTGAGGGAGGAGGAAATAAAACGAAAAAGGGGGTTAGTAGCACATCAACCAAAATACCATTTAATTATACTCCATTATTTAATACAATTTTTTTATATTCAATACAATATTTATTTAATACAATATTTCCTGGTATACATACAATATTTTCAGGTATAATACGTACGAAATAACGTCCTAGGGCATTATGGAGATGTAGATTATTTGAGTGTTTGGGCTAGCATTTTTGATAACCGTAAATAGGCCCCTTTTTTACCTATAAATTTAACAGGAGAAATGTACCTAGAGTGGTTAGGAGTTGCGATTCATCCAGAATTGGTGGAGATACTAGAGAATGATAACAGATGCATACACTAATATTCCAACAAGATTGTGCGTCATCCCATTATGCTGCAGTGGCTCGTCAATATTGAGTGGCCCCCGCGTTCTCCAGATTTAAGCCCGTTAGATTTTTTCTTCTGAGGTCATTTTCAGCATTTACTTGATTGATTTTGTTTTTAAAGCATTTTTTTAAATAAAAATATTCCAACATGTTTTTGTAACTTTAATTAGCCCCTGTAATGGCTAGGTAGATAGTAGCGATGTGAGACTCGGGGGTTATAATCTACATAAAAATAGCTTCAAAATAAGGTATCACTCGACCCCTCATTCCATTTAAAATTTTGGGGGCCCTTGTCACCACCGCTAGGGCTTTGCCCCCCAGGGGGTGAAAACACCAAAAAAATGGTTCCCCCTTAAATCAAAAATTGACTGGTACGAGGGTTTTTTCTTAAATATCTTGGGGAGCCCGAAATCACCTCTGTTTCGTTTTCAATTGGCCACCCTGTATAATATAGTAAACGTTACGCCGCTCGTGCAGTGGGAGTTCATGAAGCAACTGCTCGTAGAGCAATTCGCAGACCGCAAGTACGAACAAACAGGAAGTACTGCTCGAAGGGTGGGTTCTGGTCGCTCTCGAAAAACTTTTCCAGTCTCCAAGAAATGATCGCTTCTTACGGTTGCGGATTTTACGGAATCGATCATATTATACTGCGGTAAATGTTCAGCAAGATCTTCGCCAAATTCGTGGTGTTGCAGTGAGTGAGCAGACGGTATGTAGACGTCTAAAAGAAGTTAATTTAAAAGCTAGGAGACCAGCAAAAGGTCCTAAATTATCGCCCGAACATCGTGCTGCTAGAAAAAAATTTGTAGAAAATTATGAATAATGAAATATTCCTGAATGGTCGAATGTCTTGTTTACGGATGAGTCAAGGTTTTGCCTGAACATGATGTATGGAAAAAAAGAATCTGGAGGAGGACCGGTGAAAGGCTTAGTCAAAATTTGATGATAGGAAGCGAAAATTTTAATGGTGGGTCGGTTATGGTGTGGGGAGGTATTTCAATGAATGAAAAGACACCCCTTCATGTTTTTCTGGTGAGGCAGTCGGTGACAGCCCAAATCTACATCGGCATTATACGACAGTATGTTTTACCCCATGCAGAGTTAGTGGGCAATAATTTTATATTGATGCAGGATAATGGCCGACCACACACCGCAGCATTAGTGCGAAACTTCTTAGAAGCTGTGGGTACCACCACATTACAGTGGCCTGCGAGAAACCCAGATATGAAGTATGAACCCGATAGAACATTTGTGGGATGAATTAGGAAGAAGGGTACGTTCTCGCGAGAGGTATCTGGAAAGTCTCGCAGAAATGGCAGATGCATTAGTAGAAGAATGGGATTGTATACCAATGGAAACGATACGATTTCCAGTATGCCGCGTAGATATTAGAAGCACTTAGAGTTGCTAGGGGAGGCAATACACGGTATTAAGCAGTTATCCCAGTTTGAAATTTTGTGTTTAATAAAAATGTTTGAAAAAATTTGTATCAGTTTATTTCACTAGAAAACTCTGTTTTCGATAAATTCCAGTGTTTTTTTTTTAATGATAGGTCGAAATCAAGTGCTGAGTGTATTTTGGGGACCACAGAAAACAAGCATATTCTAGTATGGAGTCTTTCAAAGTGCAGACTACAAAGTCAAGGAATTTTAGGACTCTATTGCAATAATATTTTCAATATAGAAATTGAGAGTGAGATCCTGATTGAAAGTTACGTAGGAGGAGTAACTTCAACTTTACAGGAAAAGCATTACATACTTTAAAAAGAATCACAAATATTAAGACTCATTTTAATATCCTACTTGTGTTAACCATCGCGACAATTTTCACAAAAAGAAAGCTTCCCCACTTTTAAATAACACAAAAATAGCACTGCGTCAGCAGGAGTGTTCGTTTTCTGCGTTTGTTGTTTACGAAACCTTGACGTCACAAGCGTTGTCATTGAAACCTCGCGCTTCCGCGCCAAAGTTTTTGATTTGAATTTCAATAATTTTTTTTTCGTACCACGTATAAATTAAAGTGGAAAAAAATTGAACTATGTAATATCTGATCACTAGAAGTACCTATCTAAAAAAAAAAATTGAAAAATATGAAAATTCCCTATTAGGGCCAAGTGGTATTGTTTATATTTCAAAGTTGACAATATCAAAATCTATTTTGGGAAAAAATACAGTGTATGTACCGGGTGTTTTTTATCTTTCATATCATTTTGATCACCTGTAACTTTTTTGTTTTTGAAGTTATCAAGGTAAACAAAAAAACAAAATGTAGGGTTAGTAGCCAAGTTTTTTTTCAAGTTACACATGAAACAAAACACTATCAATTTTTTGAAATATAAGCCTACATTATATTTTTTTAAATGGAACACCCTATATATTATATGTATATTCGATAGAATATCTTATTCTGATTACAATGATATAACACACTTCATATTTTAGTCCACTCGTTTTTGACAAATCAACAAAAAAATATAAAATTTTTATATACACTCTCAATAGTCTCAATAATTCTCGTCCCAAATATATATCAGACCCCCCCGTCTAATAAGTTTCACTTCAAAAGTTTTATATTTTTGCCGATTTGTCAAAAACGAGTGGACCAAAATATGAAGTGTGTTATATCGTACTCAGAATAAAATATTCTATCAAACGCACATTAGTTCCATTTAAAAAAATATAATGTAGGGTTATAATATGTCAAAAAATTGATAGTGTTTTGTTTTATGTATAACTTGAAAAAAAAGTTGGCTATTAACCTTACATTTTGTTTTTTTGTTTACCTTGATAACGTCAAAAACAAAAAAGTTACAGGTGATCAAAATGATATCAAAGATAAAAAAAAACACCCGGTACAGTCATGAGCACAAAAAGTGGGACACCCGACTGACAGGTCTTGTCATTTTTCGCTATTTTGCGTGAATCAGTTTTTTCTCTACAGTCGATTTTTTGTCAAATATGACAATCCCTGTCATTGCCGTAGGGCCCGTAGGTATAGCTGGTGACTGGTGAGCCCGTTTTATAATAGGAAAAAACGGGTGTCCCACTTTTTGTGCTCACGACTGTACCTCGGGAATTATCAGGTGTTAATACCCACGGGCAATTAGTGTCCCTCGGGACACAAACTTTGTCCTGGGGTGTTAACACCCTCATAATTCCCTCGATACATAAAAGAGTGATATAAAACTGAAAAAGAAATGGAAATGAAATTAAGAGAAGAACGGAATTATTGTCTTCAATTTTTTCGACAGTGTCTTTATGAAAATTGTCTCTATAATGTCTTTAAAAGATCCCATAGTATTTATTTATAATTTGTTATCCTGGATAACGATTACGATCAGTTGGTAATTGATGGTGCATGTTGATGAAAAATATAGACAACTATTGTAATACGAAAGGTCAGTTTTTAGGTTTGATAGTTTAATATAACTACTATAATAAACGATATTATCATATAGATTTTGCTTACCTTTGGGAGTCTTAAGAGAGCACAAAAATTACTAGAATAAATAATTCAAAATATTTACCCTAAACTCTAGTCAATAAAATTGTTCCTGTGCCACTCCCACCTGCCGATTGATTTTTAAATGCACCAAACAGGAGAAGACGAAATGCAACAAAATAGAACGACGAAAGCGAATTTGGCCGCTGTACTGACACTGCGTTAATTTTTATTGCATCTAGAAAACTAACCTTGACAACCGGCAGCAAATAGCTTTTAATTTAACGTGTGCCAAAAGCCATTATAGTCCTAAATAGATGGAATTTCAAGTTCAAGCTGATTCAAATACAAGTTTTATGTATTGATTTTTTGGGGAGTTTCTTAAGTTTCAAGTTGGCCCCGGTATAACTGGTCAGATCGATATTTCCAGCCAGCCAGGGAACTGGAAGGCCTTGATGTAGGTCAAAATTTAATAGTAATTGTAAAATCAATATAAGAATCCTCTGAAAAAAAAAATCAACAAAACATTTACGAGGCAATTATGCAATTAATGTATGATGCAATTTTGCCTAAACAAACGCAAAATTATACGTACACTTTCAGATTAAAGAGCAAAAGGCCGGCCGGTGTGCGATTTGTTTGACGAAATTTGAGCTGGGAGCCCAGGGCCATTGTTTATCAAAAAAAAATAACATTTGCAATGACAAATTATTAAATAATTGTGAGAAATAATTAAATTTCACTTACCTGCGTTGAAAAATCACAAAAGCACTAAGGAAACTGAACTCTGGACGAGGAAAATACGAAACGTCTCCGTGACTCTGCTCTGACTGAAAAATGAATGAACATAAAACCGGAAATAAGTGGCGCCACCAGGCGGCCAAATTTACCAAGAATTCCAGGGAGGGGATTACATCAAATAATCAAATTACGCAATTAATTAACCAAAATCAACTAGAAAAAATATAAAAATAATATTCAAATAAATTATTTCAAATAACTAATAGTTTTTTAATGCAAATTTAAATGAAACAAAAATTTGACAACCGGAAGTACGTAGGTATACCTATCAAAATTGACAAGATGGCGGCAAATTTAAAATTCAAACACAAATTATTAATTATTTAGCAGTTTTTATTTACAAATAAATTAAATTATTGGGGTTTGTTGGGCGACGACGTCCAGTTGGGCAAATAGCTTGCCCAGGCTTTTATTCCTGGGTCGCCTTTGGCGACCATTTGTAGTTTTTGAGTTTCGTCGGGGCTCAATTTCAAAATGGTGTTTAGAACAGGTACCAGGCGGGTTCGTTCGTCTCCGGCGCTCAATGTGACAAACTGAAACAGAAGATGATTTTCTTTTTTAATATGGGGCGATTTTCATTTGTCAATCGGTGCGCATTGAGTGTATTTGCATCTTTTTCTAGAAGGACAAGGATACATTTTTTTTGGCACTGATTTTACAAATGAAAATAGCTATTAGATTTAGGGTTTTGCCTGTTTTTTTTTTTAAAAAAAATTTCTAAAACCAGTGGTGACGATATGCATTTGAAAAATTGCATAACTCAGCAGCATAGATTGCATGATCTTTCTATTTTGTCTATCAGACATAAGCACAGCATCCAATATGGATATTCGGTATTTAGTTGCTCAAAAAAAAAAAATTATCCAATGGATGAGCCACAGATAATCAAAATTTGAACTATTACCGGCTCTTGATTCTCTAGAAAACTTTCCTGGAGCCAATCAAGAGCCGGTAATAGTCAAAATTTTAACTTTTATCAAATTTGGATTCGCTAGAGAATTTTTCTAAAGGCATTCAAAGCTCAAGAGCCCATAATAATCAAAATTTCGAATGATAAGGTGTTTTCATTCGGGCTCAATATTGCCAGACTCTAAATATGAAAGTGTGGTACACAATGCTCAAAAACTGTCGTACAGGGACGTACGCGCCACAAATACTTGTGGTACACATTACTTTGCATTTTTAGCAGGTATATACTTAAAAAATATGATTTTTTGAGAGCGCAAAATGTTGAAAACTTGAAAATAGACCTTGCATTAAAAATTACAGCAACGGGAGTGTCCGGAAATCAAATAAAACTTTTTAATAAATTTACTAAAGTCATCTCGATTAAAATACTTTGTGGATAATAAGTCAAATTGGAAATAGATTCTTTTGTAACGTTGACAATAATTGCTAACTTAATATGAAAATTCCTGACAAGAAAATTTCTATCGGGATAATCCTCGAACATTGATAAATGCTCAACTTTCTCAAGCTTATAAGGCAATTTTTCGCAAGGATAATCAAGCATAATCTGATTATGCTGGGTTATTTGATGTGTCAATTGTGTCATACTCCCCTATAACTCCCTCCCCATGAACTTTTGGGCCTGCGAGTGACGTCACTATCAACAGATTATAATGATGACGTCATCCGCAGACCTCGATGGAATGCTCGCGATTCAGGCTGTGCTATGAGTTAATATTTTCGTCGATTTTGAATATAGAAAAAATGATTTTCGGTCTATTCTCAAAGAAGAAATTAGGTGTTCTTGGTCCCCGACGGAGTAAGGAGAGTATGACACAATTGATACATCACATAATCCAGCAAAATCGATTATGCTTGATTATTCTCGCAAAAAATTGCCTTATAGACTGTTTCCAAGCAACTCTGTTCTACATTTTTTTCCCAATTTGGCCAACATTCATAAGCAAAAAGGAGAATTTAGAAAGGTACATATTACCATAAAATATTACCCACTCAACCCAAGATTTCAAAACTGTGGTACATTACCGTACTACCGTACGCATTGATTTTCTTGTAACGAACATGCCCCGAACTGTCGTACAAATACCACACCTGTCGTACGTCTGGCAATGCTGTTCGGGCTTAATGGCCGTCGTAAGTTGGAATTTCTTCCTGACGTTTCGCTAGCACGCGTAGCGTAGCTATCATCTTCAGAGTAGGGATGCGCACGATGTATCGATGTTTCAAAAACATCGATTTTCTTATTCCGATGTTCGATGTTTATATCGATGTTTTCGTATTCGATATTATTAGAGAACATCGATATTTTCATGTGATGTTTTTTCGATATTTTCTTCTAAATACTACACCAGTACTTCCAGTCCCTTAGCAAAATTTGATGAAAATCTATTTGTTGAACATTAGGAAAAAATGAAGAGTGTAATCTGCGACTATCAAAGATAGCTTCAAAATACTTGAGCGTTGTAGCAGCTTCGGTTCCATGTGGGAGACTATTTTCAAATGCAGGACAAATTTTGAGATAACACAAGAATTATATGGAAAAGGAAAAAAAAATAGTCAAAATTGCTGTTCTTGGATAATAATTGTGATTCAAATATGATTGTTACTCGTCATAAAATTTAAGTCAAGTAGGTATCTAACTAGATTTACTTCCTAGTGCTTAGTTCTTGCTATTGTTTGCTTTCAAAGGTAGGCACTTTTTCTTCATTATAAATCGTATATTAATTACGTGTATGTATTATTAAAAATACATAAGCAGGTTAAGTAAAAATGATATTCTATTTATTAACAGTTTAATTTTTTTTCCTATAGGTATTTTTAAAAACATCGATGTTTAGAAACATCGATTTTGCATATTCGATGTATCATTTGATGTCAACATCGATGTTTTCGAAATTTTGCGCATCCCTACTTCAGAGGTGCTTCCATGTCCGATTCTGGTAGCAGACTGACGCGTTACCGACCGTGAGTTATATTTGTGTGTGAGTGGCTGTGGTGGGGGAGGGGCGGGACTTCCCGGCACGTGTCTAATCTCAAGTTTCTCTGTACTCAGTGGGATTTTTCTTGCATTTTTGAGGATCGGCTTCCAGATTTGGTTAAGTTTTAGTGTTTCTTCTTTCCTGTTGAAGTTCTCCGTATGTTTGTGGATTTCTATAGCTTCACGTACAAGACGATTGTGGTATCCGGAAGTCGGTGCAAGAAGCTTGACCTCACCAAAGAGTATTTTATAATTCCCTCCTCTAAGCGATTGTTCCGCAACTGCCGATTTTTCCGATTGTCCTAGTCTGCAGTTTCTTTTGTGCTCGTTCATACTAGTCCCATGGATCTTTTTGTCGTTCCTATGTATACCTTACCAGATGTGCATGGTATACGATAGACACCAGATACCATATTGATTCTGTCTGATATGGTTCAGACTGAAAGTTTTGCTATTGTAGGAAAGTTTTTATTTTATCATAGTCGGCTGAGCAGAAGTCTCTTTTTTGAATTTTTTTGGTTGGTCTAATTGAGCAGTGTAATTGAGTTTTTACGCATATCACTAAGTGGTCGCTTAGACCAAGAGGTGAATCACATTTTAGATCATAAATTGTTTTCCTATTAGTAACAAGGAAAATATCCAATAGTGATTTTTCTTCATACTCTTGTGTTGAAATTTACTATCTGATCTGCATTAATCTCTTTGTAATTTACCAAGAATTCCTGTGCATATATTTTATATCGGTTTAACTGTAAGCTATTCAAGTCTATCTGAGGGTAATTGAAGTCACCTAACACATATGTATAGAGGTTTTTGTTGAAGGCCCTTTTTATTTCATTTATCATTGCATTGTTTTCTTCGACGGTTGTGTAGTTTGGTCTATATACAGGGTGTATCAGATTTGACTACAAAAATTTTAATACGTGTAATTATGCCCAATTTTGAACAAAAAAAGTTTGCACAACATGGGGTCCAAACTCGACCATTTTTGAGAAAAAGGCCTTTAAAGTTTTGACATTTTTTAATGAATATTTTAAAGGTAAAGAAAATTTTAATCATTATGAGATGTAGAAAAATTTAGTTTATCCAATTATAATCTACCAGGGTCGCATTCTATATACGTCAATGAAGATATGTCCAAAGAACAAAGAGAACTCCTCAAAAGAGCCCGCAGTCTGAGAGGCCAAGGATTCAAGTTTGTATGGTCCACGGGAGGCAACATTTATGTAAGAAAAACGGAAACTTGTAATATTATAAAATTTTTGTAGTGAGGATATTGATAAACTTGAACAGCAGGATTAGTTTTTTCACCAGCTTCTCTGTAAGTAATGTAAAAATGTCCAATTTAATTTTGATCTCTTTCCTTCATGGATCCCACACAGTACTTAAGTTCCTATGTAGAAAATGATACTCTTGTCTGTGATAATATAATGGATGCTGTATGCTTTAAAAGTAACTGTAATGGAAATCTAAAAATAATACATATAAATGTGCGTAGCTTGAACAGGAACTTTGACAACTCCCTTACCTACCTCGAAGCATTGCGGGTTGACTTTGATCTTATAGCTATGTCAGAAACCAACGAAATAAAAAATATAAACCAATTTAAATTGAAAAGCTATTGTGCTTTCTACAACGAAAGTAAAATAAACAAATGTGATGGTACTGTGATTTTTGTGAAGTCCAATCTTCTAGTAGAATCTCAAACACTAACTGTTAATGATTCTAGGTTTCTTAGAGTCACCTTCATTAAGAATGGAGTAAATTTTGGTTTAATTGCTCATTACAGATCTCCGTCACTATCTTCAGATCAATATATAAATGATCTTAATGAATTATTGCAAAAAAATTTGTTCAAGAAATCGACGGTTGAGATTTTCACAGGAGATACCAATATTAATAGTCTAGACACAAAATCAAGACAAGTTGTTGAATATATCAATACTTTTGCTACACATGGTTTTGTCAGCAAAATAAATAAACCTACAAGAATAGAAAAAAATTCAAAAACTTGTATTGATCATTTCTTTATAAGGGAGAATAAAACATGTAAAAACAACGTTAGAAAAATTTGTTCAGTCATCTTGAATAATGGTTTTAGTGATCATTTGCCAATATTGTTGAATCTTGAATTTTCCAAAATTCTGCCAAGTGCAAATATTGCAAATACCACAAATAAGTTTTTCAGTAAATTTGATAGTGATAAATTTACACAACTGCTGTCTTCTGAGGATTGGGAGCATACTCTGCTGCACACTGATCCTCACAAAATTGCAGAAAGTATCGTAAACAAGATAAAATTTTATATTAAAGGAAGCACCAACAAAATAAAAGTTAAATGTAAAAAACAATTTGTCAGGCCCTGGATGTCGCAGGGGCTTCTAAATTCAGTAAGGGAAAGAAACAGGCTTAAAAAAATATCCACATGTAATCCTGGAAGCGAACTGGCCTTAAATAAATATAGGGAATATCGAAACAAACTTACCAAGCTCATAGGCAAAACCAAAACACATTACTATAAAACCCTTTTGGATAAGCATACTAATGACCCTAAAAAAATGTGGAATGTTATTCACAGCCTAACAA